ATCCATTCGAAGTGATCACAGACCACAAGAACCTACAATATCTCAGAGAGGCCAAACGTCTTAACCCAAGGCAGGTCCGCTGGGCTCTGTTTTTTACCCGCTTTCACTTTGTGGTCACGTACTGTCCAGGGACTAAGAATGTCTGAGTGGACGCCCTTTCCCGCCAACACCAGCCAGATCCTACCCCCAAAGAACCAGAGCCCATCCTGCCACCTTCCGTCTTCATGTCTCCGATTCAATGGGCCCTCACCAACCAGATTCGTGCCGCCACTCTCACCGAACCCGCTCCGCCGGGAGGTCCAGAGGGGAAGAACTATGTCCCATCCACCCTGCGGATAACCCTTCTGGACTCGGTTCACACCTCTCCGGGATCGGGACACCCAGGCTGTTGCCGAACCCTCTCGCTCCTCCAAAACCGCCACTGGTGGCCCCACATGGCCCGAGATGTCGCCTGGTATATCAAGGGATGTTCGGTCTGTGCCATCTCCACCACGCCACGTCGTCTGCCCGAAGGAAAACTAGTTCTGCTACCCATCCCTCGCCGGCCCTGGTCCCACCTGGGTGTGGACTTTGCCACTGACTTACCTCCCTCGAACGGATTCATGACCATCCTAGTAGTCGTCGACCGGTTCTTCAAATCCTGCAAATTAATTCCACTACGTGGATTACCTACCGCCCTGGAAACCGCAGAAGCCCTCTTCCAGCACGTCAGGAACTTCGGTCTCCCAGAAGACATTGTTTCAGACAGAGGGCCTCAGTTCATCTCCAGGGTCTGGCGAGGGTTCTTCTGCCTCCTGGGAGCATCCGTCAGTTTGTCCTCTGGATACCACCCGCAGACCCACGGGCAGACCGAACGGAAGATCCAAGAGATCGGACGGTATCTCCGGGCCTACTGTCATGACCATCAGGATAGCTGGAGCCAGTACCTACCCTGGGCCGAGTACACCCAGAATTCCCTGCGCCAGGAAACCACCGGACTCACCCCCTTTCAATGTGTGCTAGGTTACCAGCCACCCCTGTTTCCGTGGACCGAGGAACACTCGGAAGTCCCAGCAGTAGATCACTGGTTCTGTGAGAGTGAGAGGGTATGGGACTCAGCACATATCCATCTCCAGCGGGCCGTCCGGAGGCACCGGGCCAATGCGGACACTCGTCGGTCCCCGGTACATAGGTCCTTTCCCCGTAGCAAGGCGCATTAACGAAGTCACGTACCAGTTACACCTGCCTGCCCATTACCAACTGATCACGGACACCTGCACCCACTTACCACACCAGTCAAATACTCACTCACCTCAGTCACTCGTCGGCTGGTCTCAAGGTTACAAGCTGTTCTCTATGGGTTCCTTGCCTCCCGACCTACCTGTCACGCCTCGGATTCCTCAGTTCGCGGACGAAGGACCTCAGTGCCAAACCCAGATAAGACTGTGTTCTCTGCTTCCATTTATTCCTCAGTTGACTCTTTTCTGTTGGAAGCTCCTCCTAAGTTCCTCTGAATAAATTTCCCGACTTACGTTAACCTATCTGTTTGCCTCTTTGTCCCGGATGTGACAATAATGTAGTAAACAGTTAATGTTTCAGTTAAAGTCAGTTGTTCATCATTGTTGATTTAGTGATGTCATCATCCAGCTCAGTTCAGTTCTCTCAATAAGTCAACTATACTGCCAACAATGTAGTGTTCCCAAGTAAGCAAGCCAAAGGTGACAGTGGCAAGGAACCAAAACGCCATCAGTGACAGAAATGGAGAAAAAAAAAAACCTTGGGAGAAACCAGGCTCAGTCGGGGGGCCAGTTTTCCTCTGGCCAGATGAAGCCAGCATAATGTGGTTTAATTTCAGGCTGCAACACAAGTCAGATTGTGCAGAGGACTCGTCTGATTCTCGCGGTCTTGTGCTGATGGCCGTCTAGTTGACGAGGTCTTCGCAGTGGATCTGTCTCTAGTTGACATGCTCTCCGCTGACCTTCAGGGCTGTAGAGGTCATCTCTAGGTGCTGATCCACCATCTGGTCTGGATATGGACTGGATTTGAGTGGCTATGGTGACCTCGGAATAAGAATGAAACAGACTAATATTAGCATAGATGCCATTCTTCTTACGATGTAGTGAGTACATCAGGGTTATGGGAAGTGTTCCCGGTTCCGGTTGACCTAATTAATGCAGCCTAACATTCAGAGTTAGGGTGCTAAATAGGAAAAGGATCTGCTGCCTGCAGTTGATTTTGATATTCTAGGTATTATCAAATGGCCAGAGTTTTGATATCACAGCGGATGTGAAGGACTATAATGCGATAAGAGCTCACTCAAGTACTGAGAAGCTAAACCATTCAGGGCTTTATAAGTAATTAGCAAGATTTTAAAATGTATACAATGTTTAATAGGGAGCCAGTGCAATGTTGGCAGAACCGGGCTAATATGGTCCTACTTCCTGGTTCTAGTAAGAACTCTAGCTGCTGCATAATACCAAAGATCTGCAAACTAGCTGTTTAAGTTAGGAGAAGATGGAGAAATACTGGACAGAGCTGTTCATGAGACAATAACAAATATATATTTGGTGGATAAACTAAATGGCCCCTTAAGAAAATTAACCAAGGTTTTACTACAAAAAAAAAAACATGGTTACTATAGTTAAACCATGGTAACCAAAAAGTAACCATGGATTTGCTACAATAACCATAGTTTAATAATGGTATTTGTAGTAAAACTGTGGTTATACTAATGGTAATCAATACACCAAAAAGCAATGGTTACTACACTTTTACTATAATACATCCATGGGTAATATTTGTAAGGGGTGGATAAACTAAATAAATATTGCGTTAATGGAATGCACCTGAACTAGAGGGAAAAAAATCTTTGGGCATGCCTTGAATTGTTACAGCTTAATGTGTATAGACTTGAACAGGGGCTGAGGAAAATAGCGGCCTTGATTGAGTTACATGATTGAGTTACGCCTCAGCATTTATGGAGAACGAGTTCTGTCTGTTGCCAGGAGGCAATTCATCTCCTGATAAAGGAGAGGCAAAGATAGAATTAACTGATGAAGAATTAACTCTCAAAGGCCCATAACAAAGTAAAATACTTGTTGAAAGCAATTAAATAAAAAAAAATGTTTTACGAAAGAAGGGGTAAGAAGTACATTTAATGCTGTATCACAACAGCTTACTATGATCATATGACAGTTTCCTGACATTATTCTCTACAATTTAGGACTAAATTGAATAATTTTGCTAGTAAATATTTGATATACAGTATAATACAAATTTGATCATATCATGGTTAGTAATTGGAAAAGATTACATCCCTCAAAACTGTATAGAAAAATGCAACAGTGGGCTTTAGTTATCAACATTCTACTATATTATTTATAGATTGGAGCCTATTCAGTAAATCATAGACAAACTCCAAATGATTTTTCATACAGTTTTATGATTCTACAACATTCCTACACATCACTGACATCTTAAGGAGGCAAAGTACCTGAAATGCATATTTAGAGAAGCAAAAATGCATATTTTGACCTTTAAAAACCTTCCCAGTAAGATAGAAGGCGGAAAATCATTGCAGAGCAACCCTGTGACACTCTCTAAAGTTTAATTATGTCTACCCTCAAACCTATTGCAAAGACTTTTGTGAAGGCCAAAGCACTGGAGGCCTCTAAATTTTCAGATACTTTGCAGGTGGTCAGTGACGCGTACACTCTATGAAATTTTCAGAAAAATAGGACCTAATAGGCTGTTAATATGAGGAAATTTCCTGTATTGAGATTTCACAGGTGTTTTACCTGTACAGTATTTTGAATTACATTGTGTTGCATTTTAGGGTTAAAGGAGTTCGGAAACTTAACAGATAATGTCCTTGCAGACAATTATCAGCAGCCTAACTTTTCCGTTTTTCTACGGAATAGTTTTTTTGTTAAGGTGCAACGAAAAAGCAAGGTCAAAAAAGTTCCATTGTCCATTACGTGATGTCTGTAGCGATGTACTATGAACAGAGGTGGACAGTAACTAAGTACATTTACTTGAGTATTGTACTTAAGTACACTTTTTGAGTATCTGTACTTTACTTGAGTATTATTTTTTCTGGGAACTTATGACTTTAACTTCACTACTCTTGAAAGACAAATATTATACTTTTCACTCCACTACATTTCTATGAAAGTCCTCGAAGTAGAAAGTTGTAAGCAAAGCAAGTACTTCTGTACTTTTACTTGAGTAAAAATCTGTCTTTACAACTTTTACTTGTAACGGAGTAATATTTGACAAGCAGTATCTGTACTTTCACTCAAGTAATGGAGTTGAGTACTTTGTCCGCCTCTGACTATGAAGCAGTGATATGATATTTCACTGTGAAAAAAACTATGATATTTTTCTAAAAACCATTTGACCTGCTCTTTAAGTTAATTTGAAACCAAGCAGCCTGGTCAGCATGGTGATGAAACCAAGCAGCCTTCTGTTGGTCAGCATGGTGAATTCTCGTCCTGACCAACACAATACGAAATCTCTGTCACGCGACATTCCCCATCGCGTGGGTTCTCCAATTAAAATGGCTTGTAAATTCGCCGAATGTCGGTAAATGTGACCGCACCTTTACAGAGTAATTTCTGGACTATCCATTATATAAGAAATGATCCAAATTTCAGTCTCCTAGTCTTCACGTGAAGGCATTATTTTCCCAAAACTGACTCTAAAACAAAATATGTTATTTATTTTTATTATTTTGTTTTTGTTGTTGGCTGCGTGAATGAGGAAAAACGAAGATACCTCTTTCATGTAAATGCTTGGTTTCTGAAGGCTTTGAAACGAATGAGGGAACTCTCTGGAGTCTTGGCCATTGAGGAATGTAGTAACACTGAGATCTCCACAATTGTCAGGATGCGCGCACATTTATAAATAAATAAATCTGCTGTCTCTCTGGCGTTCGCATTCGCGCGCATCCGCGCTGGAGCTGACCGTGGTGCTGATCGCCGCACGCTCGCTCAAGATCACTGACATGCACGAGCCTCAGGACCTGAACACCTCCGACACCGAGACTGAACTTGACGTTCCCTCACTACCTTCAGTTTCGGAGGCAAGCCTGAAATAATCGAGCATGAATCTGAAGTGAGACGGAAGCATTTTGGAAGTCGAAGAATAGTCAATATTAAACCTGATGCTGTCATGGACGTTCCGGCACGTGTTTTAATAGGATTTGCGAACATGATGTCCATCATGAGATTTTTACTGTACTTCATTTAAGATGTGATTATTTGGATGAATTTATATTCATAATGTTGCTATAAACAAACCCGTTTAGAAGCAAAAGAAGATAACTATATATATTTGGATTCTTGGACATTTGAAGTGGAGATATGGCTCACGTTCTTGTCCTTGTTAACTCAGTCGGACTGTTGCTCTTCGTTAGTGAAATGTTTCTGGTGGGAGCAAGTAAGTTTCTTCTTACTATGAAACATTTTTCTGATAAGCAGCGTTCTGTCTTGTATTGAATGGATGCACGTGAGCTTCTGCAAATGAGATGAACTGAATCTTTGCTGGTATTGCTTGGATGCTCTGTGTTGGGGGTCGTTGTGCGTCTGTGAGCAAAATCATGCCATGCAATAGGTTACATAAATCGGTACTTTCACTGTAAGTTTTATAGTGGTTATGCAGTATATTACAAATTTGGATTGCAAAAGATTAGTTTGATTCTAAAATATTAAATCAATATTATATCAAATCTATATAATCGAAAATGGCCCCCATAATGCTGGTCAGAATAAACATAACGATCAACCTCTCAGCTGCAGCTGTATTCTACAATATATCGCATTGAATAGAAGATTACTTAAAGTTCATTGTGTATTACAGAAAATTTAATAGTAAGAAATAACTGTTAACATTCATGTATTTTGGTAAAGACTTTTACCCAAAGCGACTTATGTTGCATTCAAGGTATACATTTTAGCAGTTCATGCATTCCTTGCGAATCGAACCCATGACTTTGCTGTTGCCAGCACCATGCTCTACTGTTTGAGCTACAGGAATACTTGAACCTTGTAAAATATGGGGACCTTGGGGAATTTTCAAGCATGACATGAAGGTATGGAAGCATGTGAGGAAAATACTTTCCTGTGTTGTTCTGAACCTTTCCCTTTTTTCCTGATTGAGTCATCTGGGATTTTGTGGTAGCTTTGATAAGGCAGCAGTTGACACTTCTGTTCTCACAAGCACAGTGGTGAAATATGAACACTTCCAGTGCAGAAAGTTGCTCCTCAGAAATCAGGGCATCTCTCCTTTTGCAAAATAGATTACACCTGTCAAAGGAAACATAACAGGATAGTGCAATATTCATTCTCAACGGCTGCATATTTAAAATAATAGTTTACTAGGGCATATAACACTAAATAATCTATTCATTCATCTTTTCCCAGCCATGCATTAACATAAGTGCAATGTCAACATGAATGTATACAAACTGCAGAAGGTCATGTCCAGTACATGCATGGCACAACAGACACAATTGATTAAATTTAAACAGAGGGATCTGTGAGAAATTATGATCATGCAGTTTGAAATCTGTCCTAGTTTATCATTCAGAGCAGCTTCTTTGCAGAGATTTAGGACTGGAGAATAATTAAAATTCAACTTGGTTTCTTTTCCTTGAAAACTGACACCTGAATTGAGCTAGTTAGTGTCATGCAGAGCACAGCACTGCTCAAAATATTACAGCAAAATCACCCTTGATTAAAGGAATAGTTCACTCAAATACGAAAATCTGCTTAAAATTGACCCATCATCAGGCCATCCAAGATGTAGAGGAGTTTCATCATCGGAACAGATTTGGAGAAATTTAGCATTACATCACTTCCTACCAATGGATCCTCTGAGAATGAGAATTCAAGCAGCCCAATAAAAACATCACAATAATCCACACCAGTTCAGTCCTTCACTTAACATTTTGTGAAGTGAAAAGCTGTGTGTTTGTAATATAAAAAACCATCAAGACAATTTTAAAGGGATAGTTCACCCAAAAATGAAAATTACACCCTAATTTTATTAACCCCCGCAGTTGTGTGGAGCAATTTTTTTTTTAGGATGTATAGATGCAGTTTATTGGACTTCTCGGACTATTGAATATCACCCATTCACTGCCTTTATAAAGCTTGGAAGAGCCAGGACATTTTTAAATTTAACTCCGATTATATTTATCTGAAAGAAGAAAGTCATATATACCTAGGATTGCTTAAGGGTGAGTACATTTTGGGGTAATTTTCATGTTTTGATGAACTATCATTTTAATTTAAAAAAATAAAATAAACATGAGTCCTCTATCTATAATATTGCTTTCTCCAGTGAAAAACGTGTCTCATCTGAATCTGGGGAGAAATATGCACAGATCAGGCACCATTTACAAGCAAAACTTGTCTAAACATATCTGTTGGTGGATTTTGATGTGAGAGGACAACAAGGGATGGCCTTTTTCACGGGAGGAAGCGTTATTATGGATTATGGACAAATTATTTGGCCAGAAGAGACAGTTTAAAATGCTTTAATGATGGATTTGTTTCTTACAAACATGCAGCTTTACACTTCACAAGGTATTAATTAATGGACTGGAGTCATGTGGATTACTTGTGAATTATTTTATCAGATATTTGTACTCTCATTCTGATGGCACCCTTTCACTGCAGAGTATCCAGCCATTAGTACCAGACCTGATGCACTTATGTCCAGATGGAAAGCCTTCCCAGCACAGTAGAAGCTGTTATCACTAAAATGTTAAACTTAAATGTTCAGCAGGCACATATGGGTGTGGTGTTCATGTGTTCGAATACTTTTGGCCATGTAGTGTATATCTGGAGGATTTGTGCTGAAATTGGCTGCCTGTTAAAAATTGTCTGACTTCCAACACCTCATCTAGCCCGTAGTGAGGTGGCAAGAGAATTGCATCACCGGGCCCGACCTGGTGGACCGTGGTCACCAATTACATTGACCTTAAACTGCCACACTGCCCAATTCCACCTCTTGTGGACCCAGGGAGAGGAAGTGTTCACCGATCACAGCTAGTACATTTTCATATGTTTGGACAGACACTGAACATGTTTACAAATCCTTTAAAGGGGTCATATGATGCGATTTCAAGTTTTCCTTTCTCTTTGGAGTGTTACAAGCTCTTGGTGCATAAAGAAGATTCAGCCACGCCTACCTAAAACGGCTCGTTCTAACACGCCCCCACATACCTACGTCGCTATCTTGGAAGATTTGCATAACGCCGCCCAAATGTTCACGCAAAGAAAGAAGGCGTAACTTTTATTCTCGCTGTAGTTTTGTTGTTTCTGCTGCCATGTCGTAAAGATGCTGTGTGCTTCGTTGCGAAAGCGAAACTACTTTGTTTGGTCTTCCAAAAGAGGACGATATCTGCTTCGTCATGCCTAGAGCTGATCCGTGCTGGTTGCTGAGGAAATACTACAACTTTGCGCTGTCGATCGCCGGATTGGCTTTCACCGTGGACGAAGCGGATTCCAGCCCGGGGTCGTCACATGCCCTTCCAGACGTCGTTCTCAAGCCCACCCGCCTCAGCTCACTCTAACACTCCGGCCGTTCCTCACTTTATCCCCCGGCCTCTGCTCACTGTAGGCCGGCGTGTGTGATGCTGTTTCGTTTGTGAAAGCGAAACTACTTTGTTTGGTCTTTCAAAAATGGACATGACTAGAAATCAGTGGTTAAGTTGTATTTACAACACTGTTCCAGAACACTTCAACCCAAATATTCAGATGTGTGCAGCACATTTTAAGGAGGACTGTTTCCTGATCCTGGAAGAGTAGACTACAATGCCGGCTGTTCTGACTCAAATACTTTAAGTATGTTTTTTATATTTAAAGAGTTTTTATATTTTATATATTTAAAGCGAGTTTTTTGGGCAGTGTAGAGTAGGGCTTGTTGTTTGTCATTTCTCCGATCACAAATGCAGACATGGTTTTATGTTTATGTTTGCGGCACAACGCAACACGTAAAAAGACAGTATAAATTATTATAATCCATAATTATGTCCCCACTGGATGGTTTTAATGTTTTTGAATCATCGCTCCAGCCTGGCAGGGCATCATCACAATATGGTAAGGGGCGTAACATTTCAATCACAACGCACTGGATAGCTGGCCAATCACAGCACACCTCGCCTTTTCAGACTGATGAGCTTTGTAAAAATCGACGCGTTTCAGAAAGGCGGGGCATAGAGGAGAAACAATAATGTACAGTATGTGGAAAATAATGTGTTTTTTTAACCTTAAACCGCATAAACACATTTAATTACACCAAATACTGTTCTTTTTAGCAGCATCATATGGCCCTAAGGTTTATAGAATATATTATGAAATGAATCAGTTGATTTTATTGTATCTATAATAAATAAGATTATTTAAATATTTTAATTTTTTGATAGCACACAGTCAAAAATCAATACATGAGCATGTTAATGTTACACTGTGAAACCACTTATATTTCATATGCATACTATTAAGATGACTCTGTATATGCTGTGTGTGTGTGCTGTATATACTGGTGATTATTGATGACATCTAGCTTGAAACAAAGAAAAGCAAAAATGTGTGCGTTCAACATTTCCACACAATAAAATAAGGATTCAGTCTCCACATGTTCAGTCTTTTGTGTGCGTGACTCTTATATTATGTGTCTTTGAAAAGTGAAATATAAGGATATAAAAATGTAATTATAGAGAAACATCAAGTGTAGGATACTAGTTTCAGATCTAATAGAAAACAAAATAATGATCTACAAGGACAAGAAAAATTTTACTTACAAATTATACTCAGAAAAAATTGTGCACAAATTCTACCCTGTGCATTAGTGATGGGGAAAGTTTAGTGATTCTTTGTCACAGTGTCTGGTTGTGGTGCCCTGGACTGGCCACTTGAGGGCGCTCTTCCGGTTTCTATGTTTTATGTGTTAAACTCCATTTCACATAGTCCCTTGCTTGTTAATTCTGTTCTGATCAGTAGCACCTGTTTATTGTTTCCTATCATGATCACCTGTTTATCATTTACTCATTATCCCATCTATATATACCATGCTCACTCTGTCTGTCATTGCTGCTAGATTGTGTATTGTCTTCTGCGTTCATAGTTGTCTCATGTTCATCGTGTTTTCTGTTCTCTGTTTTGGATTACCTTTTGCCACGTTTTTGTTCTGTTCTGTTCATTTGTTACTTTCATTAAACTGCACTTGGATTTACCTTGTTTTCTCCTGGGATTCCGTGACAGAATCTAGCAGCCACTACAAGATCCAGCAGTTTGTTTTTCTTTTCACCTTTTTTTTGTGGAACATGGACATTCGTATTATTCCTCCTGCTTCGAAGGAGCTTAAGGCTCGGCTCCGGATGTTGGCGGATCTTTGCCAACAGGGGATGGAGATTGGGGGTTTCGCTCAGA